TTTTTTTTATTGTTTAATACTATTCTACTTCTCTTCTAAATGCAAAAAAACACAATTATATATAGAAGTAGTATTAAGGAAAGTCTTCTCTATTTATCAGTATATATGCTTATGTAATTTCATTTCCCTTGTAGTAGATATTTTTCATTTCCCTTATATTATGTATATATACATACATAATATATACTCACAATTGTTGTGTTTTTAATTTTATCAGTTTTAATTATTATTGTTCTAAAGTAATAGGGAAAAACATGCCAAAGTTTTGTATTTTTAAGGAAAAATTCCAATCCGCAAATCGCCTACATATCCGCATAAATTGTAATCCGCACTGCGAGCAGTTGCAGGTTCAAATTTTCCTAAACCTTAAACATGCAGGGGGTACAAATCGCAAACCGAATCGTCCAAAACCGATCTGCGACCACCCCTATTGACTATTGACTTAAATCCTTTTAACTTAAAAATTATACATTTCCACCCTTCAACTATGGATTTTTTAGTAATTACGTACTGGCTAAAAATAAGCTTACCAAAAAAAAAAAAAAAAAAATTGGTTTAGTACATTTCTAATCTTTTGATTTTTTTTCTAGTAACTTTTTAGTATAAACCAATTTGGATCATTAGAATATTTTTGTGAGAAATGAGTTTAGCAAATAAAATTAGTTTTTTTTTTTGTTCTTTTTAAAAGTAAAATGAATTTTTTTAGTCAATAAATTAATTTTTAAAAAGTTATAAAAAATCGAAGAAAGACTCTCATTCTAGAGGATGAAAGTTAAATAATTTTAATAGTTGAGAGGTTTAAATGCATGATTTTAAAGTTGAGGGGACAAAATGATATTTCATGATGGTTAAAGGGATAAAGTGTTATTAACTCTTGGCGTTGGCTTCTGTCCAGTCCGACTAGACCGTGTTGTTAGGCCTGTGGGGGCCTACCACAGGCCCCGTTTTGATAATATGAACCGTTCAATGTGTAGAACTCGTCGAGTACTATAAGCCTGTAAAAAATCACGTTAATCGGATATCGGTAGCTAGGTGATCAAATCAGATTTTTGTCAACTGTTAATTTATTCACCGTCCAAATTTTTTTTATATAAAACTGATTTGATCACATAGCTACCGATATCCGATTAACGTGATTTTTTCCAAACTTATAGTACTCGACGAGTTTCTATATATTCAACGGTTCAGATTATCAAAACGGGATCCGTGATGGGCCTCCACAGACCATTGGTTTAGTACATTTCTAATCTTTTGATTTTTTTTCTAATAACTTTTTAGTATAAACCAATTTGGATCATTAGAATATTTTTGTGAGAAATGAGTTTAGCAAATAAAATTAGTTTTTTTTTTGTTCTTTTTAAAAGTAAAATGAATTTTTTTAGTCAATAAATTAATTTTTAAAAAGTTATAAAAAATCGAAGAAAGACTCCCATTCTAGAGGATGAAAGTTAAATAATTTTAATAGTTGAGAGGTTTAAATGCATGATTTTAAAGTTGAGGGGACAAAATGATATTTCATGATGGTTAAAGGGATAAAGTGTTATTAACTCTTGGCGTTGGCTTCTGTCTAGTCCGACTAGACCGTGCTGTTAGGCCTGTGAGGGCCTACCATAGGCCCCGTTTTGATAATCTGAACCGTTCAATGTGTAGAACTCGTCGAGTACTATAAACTTGTAAAACATTACGTTAATCGGATATCGGTAGTTATGTGATCAAATCAGATTTTTGTCAACTGTTAATTTATTCACCGTCCAAATTTTTTTTATACAAAACTGATTTGATCACATAGCTACCGATATCCGATTAACGTGTTTTTTTTAAACTTATAGTACTCGACGAGTTCTATATATTGAACGGTTCAGATTATCAAAACGGGATTCGTAATGGGCCTCCACGGACCCAATAGCACGATCCAGTCCGATTAAGGACAAACCCTTAACTCTTATATATAAGTTTATAACTCTAAAATTGTTTCTTCATTTGGCTAAAATAAATATAAAAAAAAAAATCTTCTATCTTATTTTTGTCTTTTCTAAAAAAAATTCAATTATTTTATTTTATTTTTTATTTTTAAGTTTGTTTTGGCTAAAAGATTCTAAAAACTTAAAAATAAATAAATTAATATACTAAAAATGAAAATAAGTCAAATTTCAATTACAAAAAAAAAAAAAAACTTACCAAAATTGGGTTGCATTTATATTTTCTGAAATCTATCAAAAAATATTATGTTTATTTATTTTTAAGATCATCTAATTGAATCAGGTTTAAAAAATACATAAATATGGCAATATATTCCGAATTGGGATCCTCCCCTTGAGCCCCTCCTTCATTCCCTCCTTGCAGGGGCCTTCGGGTCCACTTTGAGGCCCAGTTTTGATAATCCGAACCGTTCATATTTTTAGATTTATTCAGTATATCATACCTGTAAAAAATCAAGTTGATCGAATATCATAAAGTATGTGTTCGGAAAACTGTTTATTAAAAAATAGTTTGTAGTCCCAATTTTCTGAACGCATACTTTCTGATATCCGATCAACTTGATTTTTTACAGATATAATATACTGAATAAATCTAAAAATATGAACGGTTTAGATTATCAAAACTGGGCCTCAAAATGGACCCGAAAGCCCCTGCAAGAAGGGAATGAAGGAGGGGCTCAAGGAGGGAATCTGGACTCATATATTCCACCTCGCCCTAGTTTGCGTGATTTTCCTCACGCTCAACAACAAAACGAATAGGGAGTGGCATTTGCTTCCACCTCCATATTTTTCCGTACTAAATAAATAATATATATTTTAATTTTTAAAATAATAAGTATAAAACACCAAAACATTCATATATATCATATATATCTTGCATGTTTTTTCTCTTTATATCTCCCATTTTTCTTATCCTTCTAATTTTTATTACTTATCAATACTTATTTTCTTACATGTCATACACTCCCTCCGTCTCATATTGTTGGTCCACCATTTTTCCTTTTTTTGATATGCCAAAATATTTATTTATCATTCTGAAAAGTCAAAATATAAAATTTTAAAGTATTTCAAAACTACCATTTAAAAATAATTATAAATATATTTAATAATGGGGAAAAAATGAAGAATATGCTAACTTAATATATTTTGATTTGATTTTAAAATAATAATTATATGTTTTACTAAAAAGTTAAAATTTTAGATGAACGTAGGGAGTAAGGCTCTGTTTGTTTGAGTTTTGGAACTTTAGTTTCAATCATTGGTTCTCACGTGGTGTTTGTTTACAACTTTCAAAATTTAATTTCACGCTCTTTTTGAAAACTCGGTCGAAGGCAGAAAAATTTGGGTTAACCGATCGTCTGGTCGGTTGATCGGATCAGTGTAATTTTTTTATTTTTTACTTTTTTTGCAATTGACACATGTTAATTTTTATATATTCAACAAAAAATATTTTCCGAATTTGTAAATTTTTTTTAGGAGCTTTAATAGAATTTTAAATTGTGTGTTTAGTATGAATTGTAAGTTTTTGTATCAAATATCATACGTCGTATCAAAAATTTCTCACTCAATTCAAAGCTCTTTTTAAAACTCTTTCACCAAACAAATTTTTCACATTCAAATCATAATTTCAAAACTCACAAATTCAAAATAAAACTCCTATTTTCAAATTATATTTAAAAAGTTCTACCAAACACTACATAATTTTTTTATCATTACCGTCTCTGCCTCAATAAAATAAGAGACAGGGACAAGCACTATAGACCCACTATATTATTGTCATTCTTAAAAATAAAAAAGTAAAACAGTGACATAATTGGTTCAATACATTTGAAAAAACCATATATTTATTTTTTTTTTTAAAAAAAAAAACTACTCCCTAGTTGGTTCAATACATTTTTTGGGGCAAAATTACAAATACACACCTTAAATTTTAGGACAAATTATAAATACATTTAATTAAAATATAAATTGCCTTTGTGATTTTGGAAATTACATTCCACCCTTAGAGATTTTTAATTTCATAACAAATTTCTTTTTTTATTAATAAATCATCAAATCAATTAACAGTTTTTAATGATATTAGAAATATGTTTCAATTAATAATTTATGTAATTTTACTATTGTATAGGAAAATAATTATGAATTTTATTTTTTACTTAATTATGTTAAATAAAAAATTATAATAAGGGGTATTTGTAATTTTTCAAATTAAAAGAGACAATCTATATTTTAAGCAAATCTCAGGAGATGTATTTATAATTTATTCTAGATTTTACTTAAAATATGATTTGACCCATATGATTCTATAAAATTATGTCCCATTCCTTGAAATTTTTAATTTCATAACAAATGGGGTTATGTTAGAAACTCTAAATAATTTATCAAATGAGTTTGTTTGTATGAATTCCACACCATATGAGATGTTTAGTAAAAAATTTGGTAAATCATTTGGGATCCATAACATTTTCCTAACAAATGACAAATTTTATCAATAAATTATCAAGTCAATTAATAATTTTTAATAATGTTAAAAATTTAATTCAATTAATAATTTAATATGAGATGTTTAGTAAAAAATTTGGTAAATCATTTGGGATCCATAACATTTTCCTAACAAATGACAAATTTTATCAATAAATTATCAAGTCAATTAATAATTTTTAATGGCGTTAAAAATTTAATTCAATTAATAATTTAAGTAATTTTATTATTTTATAGAAGAATAATCAGAAATTTCATTTTGCAGAGCAGTCAAAAATTTTATATTTTCAATTAATTTTGTTAAATAAAAAATTCTAATAAAATAATATTTATAATTTTTTAAATTACAAAAAATAATCAATATTTTAAGCAACAAATCTCATGAAATATATTTATAATTTACTATTTTGTTTCGATAATATTTTACAGAGCAGAAAACCAGGTTCAAATTCCGGTCCAGACCTTAAATTATTCCTCTATTCCGGTCCAGACCTTAAATTATTCCTCTAATAAATGATTAACAATTGAAAACTCAGAACACAAAGCATCATTACCAACAACAACAACAACAACAACATTCTTCCTTCTCGATCTCCTTCTACCCCAGCGACCGCAGCCTCTTCACCGAGGCCCCCGGAGGAGAGAGAACCTAGAGAGATAAAACCTATACATACATATATATGCATATACATACAGAGAGAGAGAGAGAGATCCATTCATGGCGTCTTGACTTTTAAATTTTTTTTTTTTTCTGGATCACTGATCTCAAATTCGCATTAACAGGGTAAGTATCGAACCCTATGATTTCCCAATACTCAAAACCCCCACATTGAATTCGTTGTTGTTGCGCTTTCATTTTGTTGAATTGATTCAGTAAAATTCGAAAATGCCCCGATTGGTTTGGCTCTCAATTTTAGCACTTCTCACTCTGCCTAACACAATTCCACTACTTATATAATTGCAATTCCAGAATCTCAATTGAGCCCTAGAGCTTCCCACATTATGCTATAAAGTTTCGATTTTTTATTTTAAAAAAATTTTCAGATCTCAAATTATGCGTGTAATTGTGTGGTTAATGTTGTTTCAGGTTTGTTGGTTGAAACCCACATTTGAATTTATGCCAATCCATTTTCTGAATATGGGAATTCAATTATGTGAAGTGGAAGTGGGAGTTGGAAAATGTGGAGATATATTTGAGTTGAGATTATCTACCAGGGTTTGATTGGTTTACTTATTGAGAGGGTGAGGAGGGAAGTATCTGTATTTGTATATAAAAAGATGGATGATGTGGCTGCTCTTATGGAGGTAGCAGGATCCAGATTTACTGATCTGGAGCTGATTGGAAGGGGGTCTTTCGGAGATGTCTATAAAGCGTAAGTCTTGCAATCCGACTGGTTTGAATTTACTCTTTGTTTACAATGTGTTGTTCCTCACATTCTGTTTTTAAGATTTGTTCTCCACATTTAAAATTCTTGTGTGGGTATATAAAACATTAATACAATCAATTTTGCTTCGAAACCCGTCAAAACTACGTTATTTGGATGTAAAACTGAATCTTAATTAGTAAAACTACGATAAAAGACACTAATAGATCCTTAAGAATACTTTATTTTAGGGTCTCTGTACACTCAACCTTAGTTACTGTACATCATATGTCAAAAGATGAAATTAGTGCTTGCTTATATATTGGTAAAATGGTAGGAGTAACATTAATTTGAGAGAGAATATGCTAAGATGGTTTCACGTATAATGAAAACCTATAGAATGATATGATCACAATAAATGAAAACGTTAGGGGAGGGGAAGACCTGAATTGACATGGGATGCGGTAGAATATTTAATTTAACTAAGTATATAGTCCTTGATAGAGTGGAATGGCAAAAAGGGATTCATGTAACTGATTCCACTAAGTTGGACACAAGGTTTAGTTTGGTTTGGTTTGGTTTGGTAATGTTCTTCAACATTCAACAAGTCTACGAAAATAAAACAATATTGTTCGTCAACTTTTATTAGCCTAGGACATGTTAAAGCTAGCTGAAGTGCATAGTAGCCAGCTCATAACCATTCACATAGCTAACCACTGAAATTGCAGCATATGACAAAACTTTTATCATGATTCAAGATTCACCTTGATTACAATTGAAGTAGACAGGCTTATATGGTCTAGATTATGGAGCTTGTACTTTGTGCTTTGTCCTCATTCACAAATTACAAATTGGCATTTTCCATTGTAGATTTATAAGATTTTTTAGTGGTCTGCGAAATTTGTCTGTGATCATAAATGTGATCATCTCTTTGCATACTGAGATGGCAGCCTTTTGATTTGCAGGTTTGATAAAGAGCTTCAAAAATTGGTTGCTATTAAAGTTATTGACTTGGAGGAATCGTGAGTATATAGCTTTTATATGTCTGCTTTTTTCTATCTATCCTCTGTTTTAGAATGTCAGATTATTGCTAACTGCTTATTTATGCTTTTCATTTCTTTATCTGGAAAGAAAAGAAAAGAAAAGAAAAACTGGTATTTCAGGAGGTGTATTTTTTTTCTGTAAAGCTATCAGAGGTGTTTAATTGCTTCTAATAACTGCTCCCTGATTAGGACTTGCACAAACATTCTTCTGGTGGAAACTGCTACTTACAGCACATCATAATTTGCCTGTATCCATCTCATTTTTATAAACGAATTTTTAAATATGTACAGCAAAGAATGTAGACATATTGAAGATGTGCATGTATCTGATCAGTTTATGTCTGAATTATGCATTTGGGGATTTGAAGAAAGCATGATTGACTGACTGATTAATATGCTAAGCCAAAACAATATATAAAAAATTGAGGTGGATAATCAGCTATTATTATGCAGTAACAATTAGGTGGGCTTTGCTGAACATTGCATGGAATTCATGGGCTGTGCGGCCTTTGAGCAAGGGGAATGATTTTAGAGCAACCTTAGAATATTAAGAAAAAACACCTCAGAGGGAGGGGGCCAAAAAAAAAAGGCATTGATAACGGAGCTTCTCCAATAGCTGTCAGTGCAGGCTGTTCGGCTTTCAGTAGGTGATTGTGGCATGCTAAGAGTGATAATATGGGTTATTGAGTGTGGGAATGTCTAGAGTGCGCAGCTAAAATATATGGGAATATGACTTGGTAGAGAAAACTCCAGTGGAAAAGGTTGATTGGAATAAGAAATTTCTTATTGGGGAGGGGGAGGGGGGGGTTCTAAACGGCTTGAAAGACCTGTTGAAATTGCTAAATTTGTTAATTTATTTTGAGGAATGACACAACTTTGTAGCAGAAGTTAACTGTAGTGTTATCAACAGTTCCATTGATGCAAATAATACAGTACTGTAAAGATTTGGAGATTCTCAATTGAGATACACATGGTTGAGTTGGTAGAAAATGGTATCATCTTAGAGGTATTTGAGTGATATGGTTATGTATGTTAACTGAGGTGATCAAGCACCCTATGAGAAAGTTTATGTTGACTGAAGTTATGCTGCATGGTTTTTATGGAGCTAAGAAGCACGGACACTTCTAAGAAGGTAACGTATCCGTGTCGTATCCGTGTCGGACACCGACACTCTTTGGACACTTTCCCGACACGTGTCCGACACTCTTTAAAACGTGTCCTATTTTTTAAAGACCCGGACACTCTTTGGACACTTGGAGAATACATGTGTATCTCTTAAACACACGTGTCTATCAACTAGACACATGTGAAACCAATTATAAGTTTGAACAAAACAACTTAAGATACAATAATAAAACAAAAATCATATAAATTCATAAGAATTATTGTCATATTTAATATTTTTATTATCTTTGAATGATATATTCATATATATAACACATAATAAATATATAAAATTATATATTTCATGCGTGTCCCCCGCGTGTCGTGTCCTGCATTTTTTGAAAATTAGCGTGTCGGCGTGTCCGTGTCGTATCCGTGTCGTGTCACGTGTCCGTGTCCATGCTTCTTAGTTATGGAGAGTTGCACTAGTAATGCAGGATGGGCCAGTCATGGAGTTGGAGATTCGGTTTTTTTGGGTAGGTAAGTCATAAATTAAAGACAAAGTTTACACATTTACAAGGGGCATACCCCAGGTAATACATTAAATCTCACTTCGCCCCCCAAAGAACGGGGACGACTAATACCTAAGTAAACAATCCCCGCAAATGCAGGGTACCCAACCAAAGAACACATAAATAAAACTCAAAATTGCTCATATATCTTTTTTTTTTTTTTTATCCCCAAGTAACCCCTACCATCAAAGATAGTAGATGAAAACTCGGGGAAGATATATGAGCAAGTATACAAAGAGAGACCACAAAAACTGCATGAAACTACTGAAACATGCAAACAAAATAGAGCACCAACAGCCACTAGTAGCACACACAATCAAGGCCTATAACCATCATGAAAGCAATCACCAAATCCCCCAGTCCCATCCTTCGCTGATCACAAAGTCTCAAACCCCACGACAGTGTCCTCAACACTCCATGTTAGGATCGGCTTAAAGACCAGCCAGGATAGATCACATGAAAACAGGGGCAACAAGTAACCACCCATCTCCCAGTCCCTAAATCAGCCAATCGTCGAACCACAACTCCCCAACGCAGTGACTCCTCAATCACCCTTGGTGGAAATGGCACAAGACCAGCGTCATATAGAGTCACGTGAGGATCAGGTAATTAGCCATCATGAATAGATAGACAATAACCAATGTATACTCAGTAGCCCAACAAGTAGAAATCTCAAAAACCTCATTAGTGGGCCCACTTAAAAGTATATATATGAATTCCAAAATCGGGCCACTAATGTAATATCCACACAACAGCCAAAAATTGTGGGCCAAAGTGATGCACAAAAACCCACGGCAAACAGTCCACATTAGACCCACGATTAGAAAGGCCCAATGAAACCATAACTAAAAAAGCCTTCCACCAATAAAATAACTCAGCCCATGACTGGCCCATTCAAACCCACTATTCAATAACCCAAAAGTTGAATTTTATCCTGCACATGATGAACCTGCGGCAACGTCAGGAACAACCCTCTATGTTTACATCACTCAAAGGCCTATATGTCTACCTGCAGTCTGCAGCAGGATACTTTACCCAGACCCACGTCGTATACACACAACCCAACATGGGTTAAACAACCACGCGCAGACCAGTGCGTAAGCTATGCACGTCGTTTACACGGCGACGGTAAAACCACCCAGATCTACAGCGCCGGATAGCCATGACCAGCAACAACACCGGCGATAAACCAGCGTTGGAAAAGGAGTCAGCTCCTCCAAGCTTTGGCACTACATGCAAACTACCTCACCATCCTCATCAGTCCAGAACTACACCGACAACGGAGAAATTCCGTCATGAACCAGCAAATCAAACACGCCATAGGTGCGCATTCCATTAGCCTCCCACTTACCCGATCATGGCTTTGGCATGGTTATTCTTCTATAACTGGACTGAGAAGACCAGCCAGGAGAAGACCATCAACCTTCACCACCGACCAGCTCACGGTCTGAGCGAACACGCTAGCCGAAGCAAACAACATCACACCGACAGCCAGAAATGCCGATGAACTCTGGATTTCCACAGCCAGAGCACTGTAACACCGGAGGACCTTGCTGCCATTGATGAGGCATGAAGCTATATATCAATAGAACCCAGTACCGCCGGCGACACAACACCACCAGCGGCACCAACATACCCAATCTTCAAAGCAAAGCAGCCATGGCGCCACCCACAAACGGAGCTCATCAAACCCAGATTACACACCCTCAAATCATCCCCCCTCTCTCTCTCTCTCTAAGACTATAAAAGGACCTAGAGAGAGAGGTTAACAACTAGAGTCCAAAGCAGAGACCACACCCTTGCTGGAGGACAATCCAGTGCACACAACAGCCGGACCATCACTGCCAGTCAACAATACCAACAGTGACCACCATTACATGCAGTTCTCTCTCTCCTAAGAAACCCGAGAAGCAAAGAACCATGAACCCAACTCTTGGACACTAAACCATGAACCCAGCACATGGACATGGATTCTGCAAGGAACCATAGACAACTGGACTGAACAACACCACAAACATCAAGAAAAAAAAACCATTTAGCCACATTAGAAAAACTTAAATATGTATGTGTTGTACTTTATGCAGTGAACACAACATATTTGGAGAATTGTGTGGCCAATATGTAAAGTCCCAGCAACATGGTTCTTGTTGGTTTTGTTATTTAGAAATTCTAGGTTTGGTTCAAGGACATCGGCATGATTTTTTCCCCTTCTGCTGTAGTATTTTCCTGATGGTTGTAATTGCAAGTCAGATATATGGAGTGCATAACATGATTCTCCCACCTGTATAATGGTTATTACTCTTTATTAGATTAATTTAAATTTTCAAATTTGTCTTCTACAGAGAGGATGAAATCGATGACATTCAGAAGGTATTGCTCCACAAATTCGATGAACTCATTGGTCGAATTTGTTTCGAATAAATGATGAGGCCTCTTATCGAAATCATTTTTCTTTCAGGAAATTGCAGTTCTATCACAATGTCGATCACCTTATATTACGGAATATTATGGGTCATATCTCCAACAAACCAAACTATGGATAATAATGGAATACATGGCTGGGGGCTCAGTTGCTGATCTAGTAGGTTACTTGTATTGGCTACAGAATGTTCAGTGCATAAATTTCTAAGTTTTTGCTGTTCAAGGAAACGAAGAATTAAATACTTGAATTAATTTTCCATTTTTTTGTATAAATCTATTCCTATATGTGCCCTATAAGTTACAATTGACAGGCATCCTAATGTTTTTTCCAACTTTACCAATGTCGTCATGAAAGTTTTTATCTGCGTAGTTGTTGTATATTGGAATATGGTAGATATGGAGGAATTTTGCGATATGTGGCCAGAAGTAGCAATGTTCAGTGCATAAATTTCTAAGTTTTTGCTGTTCAAGGAAACGAAGAATTAAATACTTGAATTAATTTTCCATTTTTTTGTATAAATCTATTCCTATATGTGCCCTATAAGTTACAATTGACAGGCATCCTAATGTTTTTTCCAACTTTACCAATGTTGTCATGAAAGTTTTTATCTGCGTAGTTGTTGTATATTGGAATATGGTAGATATGGAGGAATTTTGTGATATGTGGCCAGAAGTAGCTCTTTCCTTATGCTGTGAGTACATTGAGACAGACCTTAGTTACTATATAAGGTTAAAAGGAGAAAAGGAAAATAAGAATGAGATTTGAACTTATAATAGATCAATCACTCCTTAGGCTCTTAAATAGCTTCTGTATGGAAAATCTAGCAAACTGCCACTTCTGAAAACCTAATCTCACACCTTTTCATCTCCAAACCCTTTTTTTTTCTCTCTCTTTGAACCCTTACGGTAGAACCTTTCCACAATCAAACCCCAACACAATTCCAATTGTAGCCAGCCTTAGGCTAGGTTTCCTAAAGCCGTCCTATATCACCTAGCCCTGCAAAATGGTGTATGATGTCATCACGTTGGCGATGCATTTTCTCTATGTCTGTACATGTATGGGTTTATACAATGTAGATTACGAACTACTGTTTTGGATACTGATGCAGATTGTGCTTGTGCAGATTCAACCCGGCCAGCCACTGGATGAGCCATCTATTGCTTGCATTTTACGTGACTTGCTGCATGCAATTGAATATCTCCACAATGAAGGGAAAATCCACAGAGATATTAAAGGTTCTCTTAAAATATTTAATTAGTATCAGTATCTCTGTGATTGTAAAAAACTTCTCATGAATCGTCTGTTAAAATGCCTTCAACATCATGTCCGTGAAAAATCAAATGTTTTGTCTTTGGTGGTTATTAACATTAATTGTTTTGATGAGTAAGGAGATTATTACATTGATGTACTTATATTAAGCCTGTCAGTCCTGTTTGTGCATGTTGGTGTTCTAACAACACTTATGTTACAATCTTGGCAGCGGCAAACATTTTGTTGACAGAGAATGGTGATGTTAAGGTACATTCTTTCTGCTCAAGCAAGCCGATTATTGGCTGTAAATTTGTAATTAGTTGCACCGAGCCTGAATAATTGCCAGAAGAGTATACATATTATGGGTGGACTTACAGGTACTAGTTTCTGGTTTGCTCAAGTTCATGTTTGTGATGTGGTAAATAGGTTGCCGACTTTGGTGTTTCTGCACAATTAACAAGAACAATCTCAAGAAGAAAGGTAATGCCATGGCTATCTCTTAGAATTCATTCTTGATCAAAGATATGGATGGCTCTTCAGTTATTTCTGCATATTTTGTCTGTCATCAAGTTATTAGAGTTTAAGGACCTTCGTTTGATAACCTGTTCTGCTTATGGGAAGGCCTTTTGCCTGGTGATAAACTCCCTCCCTCACTCGTCACTTGTCACTCTTCACTCTTCGTCTGTGAGTGTGCGCACACAAACATGTGTGTAGTAACTTCTTTAAGAAGTTAAATTTCATTAACCAGAAAAACTGCTATTCATGGAACATTACATTTTTGAAGTTGTCATTTTTGGTTATTCATCCATTTGACAGAGTCAAGCTAACTCTCTGATTGATGCCCTTTCCATTTCTTACCATTGGCCTTGTCCATCATTCTGTAAATTTTTTCAGATTATTGATTTTTTTTTTCTTTTCTGTTTTCCCCGCTATTTAGAGGCTGCACAGATTTCTTCTTGATTTTCCATTAAGACCAAGCTTATTGCTTTCAGAAATTTGTCTTTACTTGATTTTGTTAATATGTAACAAAAACTTTAACCAATCTGTTAAGTATTCAATGCTATGAGATATTTCATATTTATGTCTGTTTAGAAGATAATAAAGCTTTCTGCCTCTTTGCATTATACCCCTACCCCTCTCCATCTTCTTAGACTATCCAAGAACCTGATGAGTGTTTTTTTCATTCCTTTGTTTTAAAAATTCTGCATTTTTGTTCTATTTTTTTTATGATTTTCTCTTGCTTTGTGTTTAGATGGAAATTTTAGCACAAGTCATCAGCAGTTTTACTAATGCATTTAACATTAACAGACTTTTGTAGGAACTCCATTTTGGATGGCTCCGGAGGTAATTCAAAATTCGGAAGGATACAACGAGAAGGTATCACTTGGGGGAAATACTTTTGGCCCTTTGGTTTTTAAGGGTTGTTTTGTCTTACTTTGTTCTTGTCATTGCTGTCCCCTTCAATTTCCATTGTTGAGCCTTGCAATTGCAATATGCTGAGAACCTTTGTATGATGCAGGCAGATATTTGGTCTCTAGGGATAACCATAATTGAAATGGCTAAAGGGGAACCGCCACTTGCAGATCTCCACCCAATGAGGGTTCTTTTCATTATACCTCGGGAAAATCCACCACAGGTTGCTTTCTATTATTTGACTCGTTCCTTTTCCCTTTTTGTTCCCCCCATCCCCACTCCCATCCCCATCTTTCTTTCATTAGGTTATTTGATGTCATTTTGACTAATCATTCTTGTTTAATGATTTTGAATTACTAGCTAATTGTCATACACAACAACTAATATTTCCAATTAAAGTGAGTGTCATTCAGCTTTTGTTGTGCAGCTAGAGGAGCATTTTTCTAAACCTATGAAAGAATTTGTCTCGTTGTGTTTAAAGAAGGTGCCTGCTGAGGTAGGTGTACCTATTCCCTCAAAATTCCTGCCCTTTTATTTCCTCTTCTAGTTGTGAAAATTCTGTGATCTGAAATGGAGAAACTGATTGGTCATTCACAATACTGGACGTTCTTGGGAAGAGCTGTAGCAAGTCCTAAATAGTTGAGTAGTGCTAAATAGTTGGGTTATATTTAATTTGCTTTGAACAAGCTTGAAAGTGAAAAAAGAATGGTTAAAAAATGGTCTGTTTAAATTTATTACATGGAGGATGAGCTTTGCATTTGTGTGAATTATGGGGAGGGAATTGGACCCCCAACCAGCCTATAAACACACCCAAAAGAAAATGGAAAGCTGAAAGAAAACAATTGTTAAACTTCTAGTGTCCTGACCAACTATATAATAGAGGTGGCAAACTCAACCCGAAACCATAAACCTGTCCAATTGCCCATTTAAAACATGTTTAAACCAATCCAATTAAAATTGGGTTTAAATGGGTTGGACATGGGTACCCGTTTAAACACTTCCTCCATCACCACCACTGTTAAAACCTATCACCTACTTCACCCACTTAAACCTACTCCACTAAACCAATTTTTACAACCACCATTTCCTCCCCCACACCACCCCCACCCCCACCACCACTGCAAAACAAAGTCATTGGGAAAACAAACAGATATTAGATATATATATATAGGTGTGTATATGCATAGACAAATCTATATGTAATGTAATGAAAGAATCAAATTAGGATCTCTTACAACTTAGAAGTGATCAAGCGAGCAAAAGATTGAGAGTTAGCAACAGAGATAGCCTCTCACTGTTTCTTCTTCCTTCCTAGCTTGGTTGGATGGATCGAACAAATGTTATAGAGAGAGGACTGCTCTGCGAAGACTACAATTGAAATAAAGTGACTGGAGTGATGATTTTGTCCTTCATAAATAATTTTATGGGTAAAATTGGAAATCCAGGTTTCTCCATAGGCTGATGAATTATTGATATAGGCCACCACCACCGCCATTCTACTACCACCACCTCCACCATTACCATTGCTGCTGCCACTCCACTACCACCACCTCCGTCGCCGCCGCCACCACCACCACCATGACTGTATCACCACCATCTATTGGAAGAAAAAAAAATCAATAAAGTAAACATAGGCTGATGAATTATTGATATAGGCCACCACCACCGCCATTCTACTACCACCACCTCCACCATTACCATTGCTGCTGCCACTCCACTACCACCACCTCCGTCGCCGCCGCCACCACCACCACCATGACTGTATCCACCACCATCTATTGGAAGAAAAAAAATCAATAAAGTAAACAGGTTTGGTCAGATTCATTTATCCAACGCATATCGAATTCAATCCAACCTGCTTATTAAATGGATGGGTTTGGGTTGGATTGTTGTAAATACATGACCTGCTTTGACCCACTGAATCCGCCCAAACCCACCCATTTGCCACTGAATACTTCTTGCTGTGGCTGGTCTTAAAATAAAGTTGAGTTAAAAATTAGATATTTGAAATTGACCACAATTTGTTCCATAGTTCATTACAGGATCAATTTTACTTGATCTGTACACTTTGGAAAAAAGTTAATCTTCAGCTTGATAGAGAACAAAGTGCATCATCTTCACCTTTTGCCTAATAAAACTGTGTTGGAAATGGATGAGATGGTGACATGATGATCTGTTGTTAAGACTCTTCACTGCATATTGTAGATTTTATCATGCTCTCTCTTTGGCCTTGTTGATTTCAGAGGTCAAGTGCCAAGGAACTTCTGAAGCACCGTTTCATCAAGACTGCTAGGAAAAGCCCAAAGCTTTTGGAGAGAATAAGGTGTGTTGTGTTTGTCTGCCCATTTTTTAAACTTCTCTTTGGGAAGTGGCTACAGCATTTAGAGTTAACCTCTGTGTTATAAAATATAGATATGGCTTTTTGTATGACATGGAAATGTCGAGTGGTGAGCATAACAAACTGAACTGGGATTTAGATGTCGTTTCCTTATACATTTTCTGACTTAGTTTCAGAATGTTTGTTATGTAAAAAGTGCCAAAAATCTGCATATTCAAAATATACAATGACATTAAAGGAGGCATTAATATTAAGGTTTTAAATTCACATAGCACGTAACCCTCTTTTTTATCAATAATTTGTTAGTCATATGGATGGAAAAATAATGTTATTATCTCTTTTACACTGAAAACTTTTTGACTAATTACGAAAAGCTGTGCAAAAAGTAGAGAGAAGCCGTAATTGTTGACTTTTTGGTATGACTAATTGGCTAATTGGCTAATTTAGTAACTTTTTGGCTAATTGGCTAAAAAGGTAGCATCCCAAACGAGGCCTTAATTCACATAGCACGTAACCCTCTTTTTTATCAATAATTTGTTAGTCATATGGATGGAAAAATAATGTTATTATCTCTTTTACACTGAAATGTGTATTATACATGATTAATCTTTGCGTTTTCACACCATGTCACCATCTACATTAGTTCTTGTCTCTTTAACTTTACTAAAATAGAGCTTGGTGTAATTATGCCAAACTTATATTTTCTCCAAACCTAAGGAGAGGTCGATTGGAAGAAATTTTGGATATTTAGTACTTCAAAATACTGGATTTTTGACATAAATGATTACACATGCATTCATATTGATAGATGGTACAGATATGGATGGAGATATCAGCATATCAGCCTAATTTGAATATATGATTGCCCATTTACCTAATTTATAATAGTGATATACTCCTGACTTTTGTTATCTTGATAGAGATCGGCCCAAGTACCAAATGAAGGAAGATGGAGAAACCCCTAAAAATGGTCCTACACCTCTAGGGGAGGCATCTGGCACTGTGAAGGTGATGAGAGACTCAAAAGGTGAAGAAGCTGTTCAAGCCAGGTGGGTTGAATGTGTCAATTTCTTGTGTTATGCTTGCATAGTTGAACTTTCGCTGATTGTTACTCATTTGCAGTAGCCAAGAGAAGACCTTGAGAAATGCTGGATGGGACTTCAGTATTGGTGGTGCTAGTACTGGAACAGTGCGAAGTGTCGTAAGACCACCTCAAGCTAGAGACAGGAAACCAGAGGTTTTGCACAATCCCGGTGTTCCAAGAAAAGCACCAGATGATGGTAATCGGTGGTCTTCTCCTTCTCGAGATGAAGTTGGGAAAGATGCTAGAGATCAATACTTCGATGAAAAACAAGAATATTACCTTGAAGACGTAACACTCTCTCTCTCTCTCTCTGGGCCTGAATTTGTAGATACTAAATAGAAGTGGCTATGAACTATGGTATTTAGCCTGCATGAACACTTTTGGATCAAGCTGGTTTGTGGCGAGTGCCAAATTTAGGGGGATCAAACATTTCCCTAGGATTTGACTTATAACTTGATTTGATAACCTGTCACAAAGGATAACACAGTAATATGCCATAGATTCGTGATAAATATAAGCATGAGTAACACCATTAAAAAAAGATGTATCTGCCTTGTTGTAGGCTAACACTTCTGTCACCTCTGTTCATGAGATCAAACTCACTCACATATTAAATGGGCTAAAGAAAAAATGAGATGAAATGGCATTGACAAAATTTAATCAGCTTGACTAGGCTTTGAGAATTTGTTATGTTTTAGAGCATTGATATCTATGAAGCACGGATACTTCTAAAAGAGAGTTGTATATATATCGGACACCGATACTCCTTGATACTCGTGGATATGTGTCCGATACTTTCTAAACATATCCGATACTTGATGTTAGCTTTGATACATTTCGAACACTCTAGGCTGCCTACCTGAACTATTATGAAATTGAAGTTGTAATATTTTTTTGCATATTATTAAAGTATAATTGTTAGAATAAATACAAGAGTAGTGTTTCAATATTTTCGTATTTCTTACAGAAGAAGAAAATAGTGAGATTGAGAATAAACTAATGTAGTAATATCTAATATTGTAAAGAATGGTTTCTCACTATTCCTTGAGTTATTGTATAATATATTTTACTAAAAGTAATATATATTTTTTCAACGTGTCCTGTCGGTACCTGTATCCTAATTTTTAAGATTTTGTTATATCGCCATATATGTATCGTATCATATTCGTGTCCATGCTTCATAGATTGATATTTATGAACTTTTATATCTCCTTCTGAGTTTTGAAATTTTTGAGTTACAGGAAGAATTATCGATGGGTGGGACAGGAACTGTTGTTGTACGATCTCCGAGAGTTCAGTCATCTTCCCTGTTTAATGGCCAACGTACTTCAGTAAGATTACTGTCTAGTTGAGATGAAAAAAATTAGTGTCTAGATGAAGTTTGTATCTCTGGCTGTGCTTGCAATTGTTTTGATCTTGGTTGCAATTTGCCTTCTAGTCTAGCAGCACATATGCTTCTTTTGAGGATGCTTCTACCAGTGGCACTTTTGTCTACCGTGGACAACATGATGATTCAGATTCTCCTCGAACTCCAAAGTCAAGACTGGGTATCGTAGAGAGATCTTCTAGCACATCTGAAGACAGTGTGATGAACCTTGCAGAGGTTGTTTATTCTAGCATAATTTTCAGTTTGTTTCAATTAGTCTGTTGTATTGTGAGTAAAATTTTAGAATTTCCTGAAAAAATGGAAAATCATAGATTGATATCTTATCATGTTATCAACTTATTTAGTAATAATGCATTGACTACTGTTAAGCATTAATTGTTCACAGAAGGTTATGAATATCGTCTGTATATCCTTTTGAGATTCTAGTTTCACCTCTAAACATCCTTTTTTCCCCCTCTATCTGAAGTCTACTATCTTTATCTTTCTCAAATTGCTGGCTTTTATTTTCCCCATCGATTGCCCCTATTCTTTAACATTCTTAATTGATTCCAAGAATTACTGGGCATTACATGTGTTATTGTGCTGGTTTGTGTTAAAAGGCTCTAGATGGTATTTTGTTCAGGCAAAAGCTGCAATGCAAGGAGGATTAAGGAAAGGAAATGCTCGGGAAAGATCTGCGTTGGCCAGGATCAATAGAGATAGGGAAGAAAGTAGTAAATCAGATAGATTTACAAATAACTCTGATTCTTCAAGGTACATTTGGCTTTTGGTAAAAGGAAAGGAAATCCATGCTTATTTTTTACGATAAATAAATAAATAAAATGAAACGGAACGGAACTTCTACTTCAGACATTCTCGCGATTACTTAGCTGTACAAGTATTTCCAAGATCACGCCAAGCTAGTGACGAGGAAGACAGAGCCAGAATTGCTGCAGCATCATTATCCACCCCGTTATCAATTTTGCTAATCCCTTCATTAAAAGAGGTACAAACCGTAGATTCAAATATTTATCATAAATATAACTTTGCATTACTCAATTGTTTCAGATTGTTTTCTAATACGTGTCCGGGCTGTAAAGCTGAATCTCTTGAAATTGGAGTATAATAGAACTTTGATGCAGTTTTGTATCCAAATAAATTGTTTCATTATATATTTACATTTATGTGGAGAAAAATTGTCAATTGTGATAAAGACTTCATGTCTTCCAGTTATCTCATTGATGAGTAATATGTTATCCCTGGTGATGAAATTATTAATATGAACTAAGGCTAAATTTGGAGCATGCATATTTATATAGTAGTAAGATGAAAAAGATTGGATCAAGTGTACTATTCCAAAAAGAAAAGAAAAGAAAAGATCACTAAGGCATAGATGAAGTCGATGATTATTGGGGGGAAGAAATTTATAGGTGATAATCATGTTAGTGCATTCAATGTGAAATTCTTTTAGAAAAGCGAATTAACCAAAGGAGAACTTAATGAATGAGATCATGAAAAAAACTTAGGTTTAGGTTGATTTGTTAACTTGGGCAGGGAAGCTACCTATATATGTTCTGTCTTAGAATGAGGTTGTAAAATTTAGAGAATGTAGAATAACAAAAATTGGAAATGCTTGAGGACAATATAGTAAAAGAGGCCTACAAGGCTGCAACTCTTTTGAGTTACATGGGCGATGATGGCATATCCCAGTTTGGTTTGAATCGTTTGGTTTTAAAAAGAACTCATTTTGAGTTGCAAATCAATTTTGGATCAACTACTACTATCACAAGCATTTTTTGTTTGTATAGATTTGTAGCTCAGAAACTTGAGCCTTGGTGCCTAAACATCCAGTTGAAAGTGCAATTCCCTTTTGTGCAACACCCATAAGCTGTTACACATAAATAGATTTTGAGGATTGCTATTAACCCCTATCTTTCTTCTTAGAACCTCCACCTCCATTTTTTCAATTCCTATTTTATCCCAACCTAAAATTTCACTTTTACCCTCATCCTTAATCTTCTAACCCTAATTTCCCAAACCCTAACCCTAATCCCATCCCCTTCACCTTCGACAGTCACCACCACCTCCGACCAGTCCCCTTCCTTTTTTGATGCCGCCTCTCCACCCCTTCCCTTCAAGCCCTAACCCCACAACCCACCATCACTGACAGTATGAGATAGAGTTAGAGATAGATAGATAGATAGATAGATAGATAAATAGATAGAGAGAGAGAGATCGCGAGTTTTGGTTTGGCTTCGACAATGATGACAGAGCAGGGCAACGGACGAGGAGGCGCTGGGGGTTTGGTTCGGCTTTGGGTCTGATCTCCAAAGCTAAGGGCACTTCCAATCATGGGGTTTGTCGTCGTTTGTTCTCCCTCCTCTTCTTCTGAAAACCTTCTTCTTCTGAAAACCTTAGGCTCTCTCTCTCTCTCTCGCAATGGATGGGGTGGTAGAGTGGGTTCGACAACACAGTGCTGAATGAATCCTGAATGTTTGGCAACATAGTGTTGAACGAATCCTTTTAGTTCGGTAATACAGTGCTGAACATAAAGGATTTGTTTGACTATTAGGGTTTTGGGGAAAGAAGAGGACGAGAAGGAGGAGGAGGAGGAGAGAAGAGAGGAGTTGCAGAAATGAAGTGGTGGTAGTGGCTGGCCGGATTTGATTTAGGGTTTTGATTTTGGTGGTGGTGGTGGTGGTTGGCCGGAGTTGCAGAAGCGAAGCGAGGGAAAGATGGCGCCATGTGGGGCTGGGACTTTGAGGGATGTTGACGCCGGTGTTGGGTTGGCCGGCGTTGGTGGGGATGGGATTAGGGTTCGGGTTCGGGTTCGGATTTGGGATTAGGGGTATAGTTGGAAATGAGATGGGGGTTCAAGGAGAAAATGGAGGGGCTTCAATTGCACAGCCCTCTAGATTTTTTGCATGATTTTTGTACTGCTAAACGTCAAATATGAGTCCCATATGTATTTACTAATGTGAGTCATATTGCCTTCGTGTCTAGTGATAAATTTTTTTTAATAAGAAATCTATTTATATATAACATTATTCAAATTATTATTTTATTATTAAGTACAAAATCATGATGTACATTGATTATTTCACATTGTTATATCCGATACAACTAAACTATCTCTATGTAGAATTTTGGGCATTTTAAGAGACTATGCTGCAAGCATCCTATGACTTGTTTACTGTTATGATGTTAGGCCATTGCTGATGATTCAGAAGGGCCAGTTGTGCGTGCAGCAGTGAATTCACTCATGGATTTGGAGCGCATGAAGCCGGGGTCTAGTGAAGTTTTTGTCACCAGGTTGCTTCAGCGGCTTGGAAGGTTCACAATTTTTTAAAATTTTCTTGTCTAGATATGTTTTGGTATATAATATTTGAAAGGTGTTCATTATCTATACTATTAAGTGAAGGCTGGACTTGATGTCCAAGCCTTTGCTTGCTTCTCCTTCCACTACGTGTCCCTCATTTTTCCATTTAAAAACAAAAAAATAATTAAATAAATGGAAGTAGTGAGACTCAGACCTTAGACCTTCAATTTAAAGAAGAAGACTCTTACAACTTGAGTGACACAAAATATATAATAAATATTTTATTTTTTTTTTACTTATTTGAATTGTACATGCATTGCATGCGCTAACTGTTAGTTTTATATATATGTATACTCTTAAGTTACTCAAGTAATAGAAAACACATGCAGTTCGAAGGAATCTTCGTTGAAAGATCTGCAGGAGCTGGCAGCTCGTGTGTTTACCAAGGGCAAAATGGCTCCTGAACAAGCAGAGAATGCAAATCCAGAAGCCGATAGCAGGAAAAAGCAACCAAATAAAGAATTTCATTCAAACACCAATTTAAGCCCACTAGCAAGGTTCTTGCTCTCAAGGTTCGTAAGAGTCATTGCTCTCTCTCTCTCTCTCTCATGAGTGCGTGCACGTGCACACACACACGCACACACCCTTCCGTGCATCTGAGTATTCAAGCCTCAATATGCATCTTATTTTTCAAGTACCATTGCTTGCAAATGGAAAAAGACAACAATTATGGTTCAACGTACATTACACGTATCTGATGAGAATTTGAGAATTCCCAGATGATTATTCTGAAGTATAAATGCTGTGAGAATACTTTTTTTCCTTTCTGCCCCTCCCTACCTCGGTTCTCTTTCTCAGTGTGTTTTGTTAAAAAGATACCAGAAAATATCTACAAAGATTAAAATTTTAAATTTCATCCTATTATCAAGTTGTCTGCCATCGACATTTTTCAAAGGAGGTTATGTTTCCGTGGATTTGGAAGCAGTTGTGAGTGTTCAGTTCAGTGTTGCTAAAAAAACCCTAAAACCCTAGTAATTTATGCTTCGGAAATGATATACTCTTGTTCCAAAATAGTGAATTTAGCTATCTACAGCGATTCCAAAAATATTTTCCAAAATATTAGGGGGTGAAAATCAAATATACAAAACTAAAATCTAAGGAGAGTGGAGGTTTATAGAAATGCATTGTAGCATGATTTATTTGAAAGAATGAAAAAAAAAAATTTGAAAGTACTCTAGAAGTACTTTAAATTCTATTACTGTAACATGTAGGTCTACCCCTATGTATTACATTTGGAGCATGTGGTGTCATAGTCCGTTCTTTATTTACATTTTTTGTGTTTGTGCTTGTTCCTGTTCTCTTTTCATGTATAAGAACGATCTACGTTTGAGGCTCGAGACTCAGATGCAAGTCCCTCCCTTACCTATTTCCTAAAACCCTAGTAATTTATGCTTCGGAAATGATATACTCTTGTTCCAAAATAGTGAATTTAGCTATCTACAGCGATTCCAAAAATATTTTCCAAAATATTAGGGGGTGAAAATCAAATATACAAAACTAAAATCTAAGGAGAGTGGAGGTTTATAGAAATGCATTGTAGCATGATTTATTTGAAAGAATGAAAAAAAAAAAATTTAAAAGTACTCTAGAAGTACTTTAAATTCTATTACCGTAACATGTAGTTCTACACCTATGTATTACATTTGGAGCATGTGGTGTCATAGTCCGTTCTTTATTTACATTTTTTGTGTTTGTGCTTGTTCCTGTTCTCTTTCCATGTATCAGAACGATCTACGTTTGAGGCTCGAGACTCAGATGCAAGTCCCTCCCTTACCTATTTCCTTTTTTAATCCAAAGTTTCTTCACTTTTTAATATTTTTGCAATCTTACATCTTTCTGTTATGTAGATGGAAAGGCCAAGTTTCAGGAGATTTAAACCCAGCATAGAGAAGGTTGGAACATTGTTTGTGTCTATGCTTTTATAGTGTGTTTTTGTTTATTGATTAATTTTGATTGGATGTACATATCATCACTGTATGATCTCTATTTAAAAAAATTTTTTCCCTTCAGCCCAAGTGAATTTATTATTATTCTTTATACTTTTCCTTTTGGTAGTTTGAAGCCTTGATGTATAATTAGGTTCATATAGTGGGTGCTCTTGTAATATTAATAACTAGTTCTAGTAGTTATTCATCATTTTGTTGCAAATTTTCTGCAATTTTCTTATTTCCTATTGGTTCCTTGTTGCCTTTAATTTATACTAATTTTTCTATACACATATTATAGTTTAAAATTTTTAATTTTTGCTGTGTCAGTACACGTGTCATAATATAAAAAATTACCCTTAATCAATCTTAGAAACACTAATTGGGCTAGTACATATGGGCTATTTATTGAAATTGTTGGTTTTTAAACTCTACTCGACCACACTGCAGCCACTTGTGTTCAACTCTAGTAGTCTGAACGACTGGCAATGGTGGGGGGAGTTGAGATCCTCTCCTTGTCTCCTAACTTGCAACGGTGAAAATACACTTTGAGTTGATTCAACGGTTTAGATTTGGTTATTTAAAAATAAAAAAATAATAAAACAAATTCAAATTTGTTTTTTTTCGCTCAAATCTGAATCGTTGGATCAATTCAGTGTGCATTTCTACCATTGCAAGTAGAGAAGTAAAGAGAGAACAATGAGAGGATCTTAACTTTGGTCGGGGTTCGCAGTGATTGGTATTGGGAGAGGCTAGTGAATGGGCTAGCGACCATGGTGGTAGGATTGGGAGAGGTGTAATTTGTTTGGACACAAGTTATAATTTTAAAAAATTTAAAGAAATGATGTAAACTAAGAAAATTTTCAGTATGTATTCCTACAAACAAAAACAAAAAAATTAGTGTGCAATCTCGTAAGTATGATAGTTTAAGGGGGTAAAGTGAAAATTTTCGTTAAAAAATTATAACACCTAACTCGAGCAAACTAAAACAATTTTCCCTCCAAGGTATAATACAAATGTGATAATTGGATTGATAAATGGGTTTCCTAATACAATTTTCCCTCTAAGGTATAATGCAAGTGTTATAATTGGATTCATAAATGGGTTTTTGAAACTCGACTTGTCGCAGGAAGAGGTATTGTATCTGCTTTTTCAAGTAGGAAGCTCCTGGCTACTCCTTTCGAGCTTAGAAAATAAACTTACTGTTAAAATATATATATTTTTTTAATGTTAAAATCACTTATTTGAGGGTTCAAATGAACGAATTTAACTAAAATTCACCATGCATGCAATGATTCTAATTCAAAATGTCATTTTTGATCATACTACTAAATTTGGGACAATTTCAAACTTGTCACAAAAATTACATTTTTGCCCTCTTTTTGACAATTTTTTTTTTTCCCTTCAATTGTCTAATTATTCCAAAAAATCCTTATATCATTATGGTAAAAATCATAGCGGAACAAAAACCATAATTCAATCCTCAAGTTTAAAATTGAAATACAATGACTTTATTAATGCATTCCATAACACTATAATTCAATCGTCAAGTTTAAAATTGAAATACAATGACTTTATTAACACATTCCATAACACCATAATTTTACTTCAAATTTTTATTTTTGGATCATTACAGAAAAATCAAAACACATAAATATAGTAGAAGATTTTGATTCCAAGCTGTGATATACCCATAGTAGATGTGTGTGTAAATTAATTGTGTAAATAAAATAAACAACAAAATAAATTAATTCAAAAAATTAAATTATGAATTAAATGCTTACAGAAATTAAAGTCGAGGCTTGTGTTGGACACAATATTCTTAAAGTAGATTTCGCCCTCACTCCGGTGCTTCGAGTTTTACTGACATCTACTTCTCAAGATGCAACGACTAACACTTGTATTTTGCAGCACAACAAAACCAAGTCTTGCGAACCAATATATGTTGTAACTCTTTCTCTTTCTTTTTCCAAAAAATAAATGCAGAAACAGGTACAAGAACAACAGAAGATGAACAGAAGAAGAAAGGGAAGAAGTCTGGAAAATTTCGATGCAAAATGAATTGTTGGAGCAGACTATTTATAGAAGAAATGTTGGTTGTTCCAAACAGGTATAAACCTGTTCAGACAGATTGAACAGGTGCCAGACAGATTTGAATCTGTTCAGATAGATTGAGTTTGAGTTGAACCTGTTTTGAACCCTTTGAACTTGTTCGGCTGGGTTTGAACCCGTTAGGGATTTGTTTGGGTGAAAGAAAAATTCTAGACCAATTTATTTTGAATTTTGAAAACAAAATTAAAAATAAATTACAAATATTTTTTGCTCAAAAAGATAAGTATTCGGCCGGACAAGCCCAACCTAACCTTGCACCACGCACCTACGCTCAAGCCTAGGCCTAGCCCGCCCGACCGATCAAATGGATAGCAGTGGCGGCGGCGGCGCGCGCGCGTGTGGTTTTTGTTTTAGGTCTAATTTGTCTAGCCCACTTCACCTATAACCTCACATTTCCACAAACTTGGGTACCCCCTTGGGGCCTATCCCAAGTATCCCACGCTAAGGTATATAAACCCATTCAAACCCTTAAACCTTTCCAATGTGGGACAAGCACATTTCACAAATGTGTAGGAAACCTACCTAAATACATTTTCACGAACCTGAAAATGCACGTTGAATTCTCATTCATCTAGAAATGATTTTGAGCAACCAAATACATGGTTTTATTCACTACACGATATTAAACATGAACCCAATGAAAAACGTTAAAAATAATGCTTGGGTCCCACCTTAATTAATGCTCAAAGTTAGCAAAAAATAAGGATTTCCTAAAGCCATTTTCCAACAATCCTCCACATGAATGGAAATCACGATAACGGACATGCAACAAGATGTAGACAAAGAAAGAGCACATTAAGAAGGTACACCACATCGAGATAGGTAACTTTTAGCTTTGAACCTCCTCTAGTAAAAGCCTATCGGACTTACTAGCTAACCAGTGGACGCGATGCCTTGAACTGTTTAACTGTTTGTGTAAGCCAAGACAATAGACTACACATAGTGTATCCGCAGACACAGTTTGGTTCTTACGGTCATGTTCATTTTGGCCCTGAACAACGCCTGGTAATTCATGAGTGCTAGAATTTAGCTTTTTCAATTCTCACAGAACCGGCCCAGTTTACACTCATATATAGGTGACTTCTTATTAAGAGTATCTTGTTATACCCCACTTGGATGTCCAAGTTATAAGAATCATTAAAAACAAAGCTTATCATACTAGCGATGCGGGTATCACTTTTCTTATCATAGAAATGGGTAGGAGTAAACCTCCTTAGTGATACGTGAAGTCATCCATAATTCGGTTGTCCTTTTGAACCTAGATCTTGGAATCTCCAGTTAACTAGGTTGGGTTTCCATTATGACGATTTTTAAGTAACAGGCTTTAATCTCATTTCCCTCGATAAATAGTACACTTGCTCTCTGGCTAGCCCCTTAGTCAATGGATTTGCAATATTCTCCTTTGACTTTACATATTCTATGAAAATTATTCCATGTGAGAGAAAATGCCTAACGGTATTATGTCTTCAATGAATATGTCGAGACTTACAGTTATACATATGATTTTGTGCTCGTCCTATTGCTGCTTCATTATCACAGTGAATGTATATAATTGGCACAGGTTTAGGCCACATTAGAATGTCTTCTAAGAAACTACGAAGCCATTCTGCTCATTCTCATGTTTTATCTAATGCGATAAATTCAGATCCCATTGTAAATCTAGCTATGCATATCTACTTGAAAGATTTCCAAGAGACTGCAACACTTCCAAAGGTAAAGACGTATTCGCTAGTGGATTTTGAGTTTTTAGTATCCGATATCCAATTTGCATCACTGTACCCCTCGAGTACTACTGGATATTTGGTATAATGAAGGCCATAATTCTAGGTATATTTTGGATACCTATGTACCTTGATTATTGCTTTCCAATAATCGGACTCTGGATTACTTGTGTACCTACTCAATTTTCTTACAACATAGGCTATATATGGCCTAGTGCAATTCATTAAGTATATCAAGCTTCCGATTATCCGAAAGTACTCTAATTGTGATATGCTTGCACCTATATTTTTTGACAAATGAAGACCAATGTCAACGGGTGTCTTAGCAGGACGGTCGTTATGCTTTCCAAATTTCTCCAGAATCTTCTCAACATAGTGAGACTGAGATAAAGCATATCCTTCAAATGTTCTAATAATTTTTATTCTTAGAATTACATCTACTACTCCCAGATCTTTCATGTCAAACTTTGTGTTCAACATTTTCTTTGTGGATTTAATCATATCATTATTGCTTTCAATACTGAGCATGTCATCCACATAAAAACAAACTATGACATAGCCTTTATCTGTGTTTTTAATAGAGACGCATTTGTCACATTCATTTATCTTAAAACCATCCGAAAGCATAGCATGATCAAATTTTTCATGTCATTGTTTCGGAGCCTGTTTTAATCCATAAAAAGATTTGACATGTTTACAAACCTTTTTCTCTTGGCCGAGAACTTGAAACCCTTCTAGTTGTTCCATATAGATTTCTTCATATAACTCGCCATTCAAAAAAGCTGTTGTAACATCCATTTGATGTATTTTCAGATTATACAAAGTTGCAATCGCAATCAACATGCAAATAAATGTTATTCTTGTCACTGGTGAATAAGTGTCAAAATAATCAAGGCCTTCATTCTGCCTGTATCCCTTAACGACAAGCCTAGCCTTGTATTTATCTATTGAACCATCTGTTTTTATTTTTCTTTTGAATATCCACTTATATCCAAGAGGTTTACACCCTGATGGAAGATCAACCAGTTCCCAAGTATGATTTTGCAATATTGATTCAATGTCACTATTCACAGCCTCTCTCCACAATGGAGCTTCAAGACTTGACATTACTTTCTTGAAGTTTTGAGGCTCAATTTCTAACAAGTATGTAGAAAATCTGAACCAAATGATTTAGAGATCCTAGCCCTCTTGCTACGTCTAGGTTCATCTGATTCATTATCATTGTGGTCTTTACTGCTATTCATAGTAGTGTCAAAAGTTCTTTTATTTAAACTTGTCTCTTTAGTTTCCTTGCAAAGAAAAATGTGTTCAAAAAACGATGCATTTCTTGACTCAATAATAGTATTTACATGCATATCAGGATTTCCATATCTATGAACTAAAAATCTATATGCACTCTTATTATTTG